GCAGTTTCCGCGTCTAGGTCGAGGTCTACCTCTGTTATGAGAGGTACAACCCCGGCTCAAGATAGTGATGCTGGTAAAGTGGATGAAAAGGATAAGGAAGGTGGAGCGGAGGAGGACGAAGAACCCGAGGACGACAATAAGCTTTATTGCCTGTGCAAGACAAAGTATGATGAAGGTCGATTTATGATTGCCTGTGATCGGTGCGTTTTTCTATTCGGATTTATGATTTCGGGATGATGGCTGAATCTTTGTTGCTATGATAGATGTGATGAATGGTATCATACTCAATGCGTCAATATGCCGGATCTCGAAGTCGATCTTGTCGATCAGTTTATTTGCCCTTCATGTGTCGAGAGTACGTTTATCACCTTTGACGAACCTGTGAAATTACGCAGACTAACATCGTCCCTGCGTATAGAAAATCCCCACCTTAACCTCCAAACCACGTACAAAACCCGCTGCCTATTTGGCCTGAAGCATCCAGATCCAGATTCTCCCAAAGCCTGTCACAAAGCCGCCCGAGGTGCCTTTTCAAAGTACTGTTCGGAGGAATGTGGCGTCAAATATATGCAATCACGAATTGACACCTGGGCCAAGAAGGGCGGTAAGACGGAGAAGCTTTGGGAGACCGTCAAGAGTGCGGAGAAGAGGGAAGGCGTTGTGGTGTGTAAAATCCAAGAGGAACTCGATGATGAAGACAAAGATAAAATGGATGTGGATGAAGCTGTGAATGGCGTTGAGAAATCAATCAAACCTACGACTCCCAAACACAAAGTCATTCCACCCAGCAAACCCAAAATTGCTCGCGAACATGAACGACTGGATTTGCTCCTTGCTTCCATTGTCTCGAAGCGTGAGGAAATGCAGCGAGGCATGGAGCTGATCGTGTGCAGAGAACGGTTGCTGCAGCTTGCCAGCGAAAGGGCCGAGTTGGTCGGCCAGTGTGGTTGGGACCAGAGGCTATGTTGCGATGACGATGAGCTCGGTGAGATGGGTAGTGCTGTTTGGGAGACGTACGAAGAGAGTGAAAAGAGGAGAGAAAAGGAGGATGGTCAAGGTGGTGATCAAGAGGCTAACGGTGATCAAGAAGCCGAAAGCATGGACGTGGATGGAAACGAGGAGCAGTGGTGGTGTCCTGGGAAGAAGGTTTGCGATAGACACTCTGGGTAAGCATTTGCTTTCATTCATTAATCCTAGCAAACTAAACTTACATTGACTCGTTTGATGTTGGTCTTGCAGGTGGCAAACTATCCGGTACAAAGAAGTTAGCAAAGAGAAAGAGATGAAGGAAGAGGCGCTAGCTAAACTAACTACCCGGGAGCGGGAAATCCGGAAACGAATAGAGGATCTGTTGGATCCTCAAGGTGACAATGCTGCTGCAGACACGAACGGGACGAATGGAGCTGCCACTACCGGGAAGGACAACGGTGGTGTTGGTGCACCGCTCAAGTCGTCGAATGCCAAGCTTGTGAACGGTCACTCCAAATCCAAGGCAACGACGGGCGAGAAGAAGGGGAAGAAGAGGAAAGCGCCAACTTCATGACGACCGTCACGAAATAGGTCTCTATGTTCTATGCTACTACCTCCATGATCGAACTACATTATGACTCTTTTTTTTCATTTATGATGTTTTCTTGACAGTTTAGACATGTATTATTATGTGCATTCATACTCTTCGTTTTCTTGCATGCCCATACATTCATAGTAACATGTAAACAATGTTCAGTAGGGTACTTTTGTGACTGTCCACCGCTATTTGATCGGTATTTCTAAGCCACTCCCCTGAGATTTTCTTGTAAGGATTCAATCCAAGGTTAATGGAAGTATTCAACATGTAGCGAGCCGGTGGATCGAAGCAACGCGAGATTGATATTGAAGATGCCCAGATATCCCAGATGCAACCCCGTGTCCTCTGAACGTTTGTTAATTCGGCTAAAGACGGCAGCTCGAGGATAGGCTCGATGATCGGGATTAAGACTTTCATGAAGAATCCGTAAAGGAAGAGGTGCGAGAGAGATTTGAGTCGAACAAGGATGTTAAGCAACACTGTAGGATCGCATTCTGTAGCAATCAATAGGGCGTGGCAGATCGACCCTAGAGAGGTAATGTGATTTGCAATTTCAGGGGAGTGGGATAAGATTTCGACAAGCTTAGCATATTTTAAAGGCTTTGTAAGTCCAGAAAATCGAAGTGTGAAGGTTGCGAACAGATATTTTTGACAAAGAGGACGAAGTGTGAAGCAAGTCTGGCCTAGACGTAGAGGATGTACCCAAGGCGCGTTCAGAAGCCAATGAATTATCGAGTCCCAGATATCGAAAGGTAGATGAATTTTAATATTATCCATCGAACCTTGTACTTAGTGATAATTCAATGAAAGTTAATAGTAAGTTAGATTGTGATGGAAAAGGTTCAAGACGAGTCTTTTGCGGGAACTCAACATGATCCGCCGTATACTAGTACTACAACTGGATTTATCACTCATCCAGTTCAATCATATAACCTACAGCAGACTTGAATTATACAAATACATCACCTTAGGATGAGCTTATAACCCTTTGCGACCTTTTACTTAAATAAATAGATTTGACCCGTATATTTCTCGTCGATTTTCCAGTTGATGGTATCGTGCTTGTAAACCCACTACAGACCTTTAAAATAGAGATATCACCTACGAGCTGAGATCGATTTGATCTCTATTCATATATATTCAATCCAAAATCCAGTTACATTTAAACGTATTCAAGATGGAGCAATCCGGCCGATCGAAGAAATGCAAAACTACTATCAAGAATGCCCTGAAGTCCCCGGTGAGGCCATCCCACACGACTCTGACCCCGTAGCTTCATGGAAACACGTTTCAGCGCTGGCCAGGCATCCTTCTTTGAGAGATTCATTGCCAGCCTTTTCCAAGCTTCGCTACGACGATCAGAGTCTTCTACCTCAAAGTAAAGAAAGAGATTCTCTATGCTGTTTCTTCCCAACAACAAAGAGGACAGTTGCTCGAGTTCTGTTGCAATAGCAGCGATTGGAGTGCAGAAATTTTTATGCTTTCCTTCGTTTATTCGAAGGGTTTTCAATCCAGGTATTGCAGCCTGGAGACCATGAGCTACTCCGGGATCTATCGCTGTGTGCCTTCAAATCAGTAACTGTAGAGCACGAATAGTTGACCGTCAAACTCACCTGTAAATGAAATCTCGCTCAAACAAGGTGCCCCAGCTTTAAGGATATTCTCCAAGTAAGGGGCGTCCTCCCTTGCTAAATGGATTCTTTCGAGCAAGGAGAAATCCATCACAGGGGTACCATCATCCAATTGTGATGAAAGCACCTGCTGCGATAACGGCAACCCACTGGAACGAAATTCGCGAAGGCGGAGTTGATTGTGTGGCCGCTGGTTGTCCATGTCTAATCTCCTGCCCAAGAGAGATAAAATTTTCAGGTTCTGATTGTGGAATAGGAGGGAAAAGGGAATTTCCGTCGAATAATAGTCAATCGTCAACTCGATCAAAGTTGGCAACTTGATGAGGTATTCGAGAACTGGGGTCATGGCTTTTACGAAATAGCCTTGCAGAGAAAGGTGTTTGAGGCGCTTTATTCGAGAAAGGATGTACAGCAATGTGGGGTCACACCCTGTACCGTCCAATGGGCGCGCGCAATCCAAATGAAGAGAAGTTATGTAGCCGACAACTTCGGGGGAATGTTTCAGGATATTGATGAGCTTATTATGCCATAGACCTGCAGAGCACCGCAGCCTGACGCTTGAGAAGAGATACCTTTGGCATAGAGGACGTAGTGTATGGCAAGTCTGTCCAAGACGGCTCAAAGCAGTAGATTTGCCCGCAGAAGGCCCAGAGGCCAATAAATGAATGACCAGGTCCCATATGTCGAAGGGAAGCTGGACTTTAGGTTTATCCATTGAATGTTGTAATGATGATTCAATCCAAGATGAAGGATGTTGGTTGCTGGTGGTTGTGGTCGTTGAAAAAAGAGGACTAAGTGATGGAATAGGTTCAAGCCGCGTCTTTCATGAAACTTTGATGTGGTCCGTTGTATTCTCCGCCGTGATATCTGATGCAGCGATGAAATATGCAGCGTCGTCTAAATTCATGGTTGGAGAATCAACTGGGATCAACCATGGCCTGTACCATCTTGTAACCTACAACAAGTTTGAAATGTACAATATCTGTCCGAGTAATAATACTCTGAGAATCAGTATCCGTCACCTTCCCCGCCCTCTTTACAGAAGCCTTTCTGCTCGTATAGTATTTGGCTCTTGGCCTCCTCGTGGATCTTCTTGCTGGCAGTGTCATGTTTGTGAATGTCCTGCAAAGCTTTAAAATCAACTTGAGACAGGGAGAGTTCGTCTTCTTGATCGAGATCCTAGTTTCATTGGGTTAGGATGACCTGTCAAAAGCTGTGGTGACTCAACCGAGATACAATTTCACCAAGCAGCACTACGTTCTCTCCCCGGACTACGAATACACCGATTGGTTCTTCTGCAAAATGCTCGTTGTGATATATTCGTTCGTAGGTATCCTCCAGAACGAGGTTGGCTAAAAAGATTGGGGTAAGTTGAGTAAGATAGGCGACGTAGCCAGTGAACTCTCACCAAATTGATCATACGACCTCAAAACACCATGCAATTTTCTACCATCTCGTAGAATCACCAACATTTTCCCTAGAGGTGATGTTCATTTGCAAGAGAAAATGTGCGATGGCCAAGCAACAAAGTTGAAGGAACGAGTAGACAACCAAGAATGCTCAGGACAGAACAATCGAAGCGCGACGACATTGGGCAGACGTACTGTCCACACAATCTACCAGAGCGCCAGAAGTCGTGAACGGTATCAGAGAATCCATTAACAAGATTTAGGAATTGTGGAAATCTACTTGAGCGGAGGAGTAAAGTTTGAACTTTGAAAGCTGCATTGTGGCCGAATGATGGCGGGAGTTGTTGGGATCAATGAACCAACATGAGGACCGCTTGCCAACAACTTCCATCAGCTGGAATGGCCGAGTCGTTAAGGCGAGTGATTTGAACTTCCAAACTCATCACTTGGTGTTTCACCGCGTAGGTTCAAATCCTGCTTCCAGCGAATTTTTTGGACTTTCTATACTCATTTATAGCGGACTGGCACGTAGCTTATCATGTGTCATTACCACGTCGGAACTTTTCAGCTGAGGTGATATTTCTTGCTGCAGTTAAGACGGGGCCCACGAGCGTCATATGCAACAAGAATGGCTTTGGTGCCGTCAAATACACACTGAGTTTGAGGAGCATTCGCCTCCCGTTTCACCCACAGACGATCATCAGCGCTTTGAAGACATCATACCTTCCTTCATGCGACGACATTCCCAGCTCCCCAGAAGCTTAAATGGGCATTCTGGATCTTTCAAGGGACACTAAGTTAAAAGCAAAGGAACTCGTACTTCCTGACAGGCGAGCCCAAACACTCTGTCAACTATCGATCCTCTGGAATGATCAGTCTGGCGTCCTCTCTTCATGAAGCGGACGCGAACATGAGTGGTATTTACTCTCTGTTCGCTTGTCTCTCTGTATGTCTCATTATGAACGTCCAAGGAGACCCAGACTAATCTTGTACCCGGGTCATACTTAGGTGTTGATATGGGATGTGCTAGGAAGCTTACCGATGACGTCCGCCTAATCACCGAGCACAAGGTTCGAGTACCATTCATCGTGTATCGTATTGCCAGGTAAGCTTAGAATTATCATAGGAAGGTTTGCGTAATCACCGACCCCTGCTGGATTTTAGATTATCGATTATCCACGCCGGCATTCCTGGTCACTTGTTGCGTTAATCTAGGACCGCACTGCGGCCCAACTCTCAGCAAGTTTGGTTGGCTTTCCTCGCGTTATACTGAGGATCTACATCCGTGTTACTCTACCTACGAGTCCACGCATTGTATCGGTTTAACCCCTCATTCGAGCCCTCTTCATCCTCATGCTCTGTGGAATCCTCGTAACTTCCTGCCTTTATAACATGCAGCGTGCCTACGATTATCCCATGAACTGCTTGAGCCTCATGTACGAGCTCAACCATGTCCAGATGTGGATACTGGTCATCAAGATCTCGTGTTTGATCTATTTATATTTATTGCTTTAACTTACCAAGTTATGTTGATTGGGTCTCCGTCGGGGTTCAGGCACAAGCCATCGCAGGAGGAGTGGGTGGCAATGGATATTCCTTTCCGGACAAGAGCCCCTCCGCATGTTGGCGAGCCGATCTTTCACGATTTTATGGCATACTTTCTGCAAGCCCTGAAATTTGCAGCTGAAATAGCCAGTATACTAATCTCATGTCAACTGGGCTTACGTCGTGATAAAATTCCGCGGGTCATACTAATACCCTTAGCAGGCGCTAATCCAGCGTGGCCTTTGATATTACGCTTTCCAGATACTGCTCTCACTTGTGTACTCTCCGGCAAGATATATCGCGACATGAAGCTAGGACTCCCGGGGGTATTAACAAGGGCACCAGCAGCCCAAACTACGACCCCTTTATCTGTGCTAAAATTCGCACAGGGCGTTCATCCAAACAAGAACACTGGCACAGTGGAAGAGGGAAGCACAGACCATCCTTCAGCGGTGTAGTCTCGGTTTCTAATTACCTACAATGACTCCCGACCTCAATTTTACCAGTACATGACTCACCATCACTGCTTTTGCCGCAAAGATGCCAATCCTCCTTCTATCCGTTTCGTTTTCCGACTTCTAATTCGGTTAGATGTCGAATATTGGTATTCAATCACCCTTGATATGCATTTTGTAACACTTATTTTTCATCGTTCTATGTAAAGAATGGCTAGGAACAAACTTCTAGATCCTTAACACCGACCCAGGAGCGAATAGGAATCAAAGATCAGATCAAAGCGTTCACTGGGGTACTCGGAAGTCTAAAATTAGTTCTTTATGACGGGCGCCAAAGCTCTAAAGCCTCACCAATATCATTGAATTGTTAAGCTTGGCACAGCGAAAAGCTAAGTCTATGTAAAAGCATGTGGTAAATATGGGTTCTTCCGATTTGCGGCCTCCGAAGCTCACGATACAAAGCATTGTAACCCATGAGATCCTTTTGCTGGCTACGCCTACTCGCTCACAAAGCTCTCAAGACATGGGACCAACCACTGCAGGCCAGCAGGCTGCCCTGTAATGCTCCAAACTCTGAATTTTAGACCCTCGTTGCTGATTTTTCAATTTTCATGGCAGTGTCCTTCGATTCAATATCCAATATGCGAGCCTTGGTAAGCGAGCACGCCGTCACCATTGCTAGATAACTCGTTCATTATTACTTTTACGGAATACATACAGCACTGTTATACTACGACTATGCGCTAACCTGGACCAGAGAAGTTCAATTCTTTTGGATCCGAAAACCTACTCTTTCGACCCTTCTTTATTTTTGCTGCCGTTACGCCTTGGCCGCGAACGTTATATACACCCTTGCAAATGCCAATAAATTGCCTGCTTACTTGAGGGTACGTGCTCCAAGATATAGAACCCAATGACTCAGAAAAGCTGATCTATCAATCCGTAGTACTATTTCTTTATGGCTAGCCCTTGGCCTTCATTATACCAACTCATCGCCTATTTTCTAGTTGCGACGCAGCGTATCAGATTTCCGCAGCCCTAAGCGTTGTGGGTCGGTTTGCCATTTTAGGTAGGTTGATAATCCTCTGAAAATATTTTAGTTATTATCTGAAGACCTGAAGCTGTCTGGGGCTTGAGAGCTTATGCTGTCTTGGACCGCAATAGATGGATTTTGATATTTTTCTCGTCCTTGGCGCTGACGGTGCTCGTTATTTCCATTGTAAGTGAACTAGTAAATCAAAAGCAACTCGAGGCAAACACAAATTAGCTTCATGTACCATATGTTGCGTGCAGGCCGAAGAAAGAAACTATGTGAGTGAAAATACAAGGCAACAGTGAACCTTGATCGCTAACTTGGATTGTCCTTAGAGGCACGCCTTTCTCTGACCACAGAAAACATCCTTCTGATTTTCTCAGTAGTGCCTCCCGAGCTACTTGCTGCGATGACGACAGCCTATGAAGTACTTTCCGCTCTCGTCACTACTGTTAAAGGATGTTCTGACCTTCGAGTCGATGGCAAATGGAGGTCAAAGGAAAGACGTCTTACGTATCTCATTATGAAGCAGGGTCTACTTTATTATGGGTAAACATCAAATTTCATAGCCAATCAGCGCCGCTAATTACTACGAGACAGCTTTGTTTCTCTATTCTCCATCACTGCTCTCGTTCTGCCCAACATCAAATCTTTAAATGGGACCTTCTTCGAAAGGCTGATGGGCGCTCTTACTATCCCGTAAGTATCGACTCGAATTACAAGGCTTTCTTGACAGGACTTAACTACAGGGTGTCCGGGATGATGACTGCACGATTCCTGATCCACTTAAGAGTTTGGGATTATGCAAGGATCGGTGGATCATCGCTCCAAGCGACTAATCCGATTGCTTTCAATCTTTCGGAGTCAGACTTTTTAGATGATTTTTCGAGAGCCTCAAACCCTTTAAATGATCCATTATTATACCCAGAATTGGAAGACTCATCAACACCGAAAGGGGTGGATGGTTTGCCTTTGGTTTGAAGGCCTTTGGCGTTAGTGGCACTGGAATTCGGATTGGAACTCAGAGCCCCCCTGCAAGTAGCGAAGCAATGCATCATCAATATTCGAACTTTCTTCTTTTCTGTTTATACACCGTGGATATTTTTGCTGTAAATAACTTTGGAATTCGATGAACACAGAGATGGAACGTTTGCTCGAACGAGGAGCGAAATAAACTCATGCTGGCTCAACACGAGATTCTTGGGTTAAGGCGCACTTTGACCAAGATAAATTAAGAGACTGGTTGAGCGACAACGAAAAAAAGTGCTTTAACTTTTTGTTCTCCCTTTTTCTTTTGTTCGTATTCTCTGACTGTGATTTGCTGTATAAGATTTTGGTCTGTCATGGACATAAATTGACGAAGTTAAATTAACGCACCTACAGTGATCAGGTGATGCTTTCAAGAACGACGCGTCGAGCGCTCAGCGCGTTCTTTTTAATCCACGCACCACACTATTAGCTCTAATGAGTCCCAATAATTTCAAAAGGCGCTTCAGCGCATCTGCTTCTGTAGATGTCACTGACGGAGCTGGTACGAGTTCCTCAGATTGCGCTTTGATCCGTTTAGTAAAACTACATATAGTTGCCAAGGTCGAAGAAATTTCTGGCACAGTGAAGATCAAGGAAGAGGGTCGAGTGTCATCGTTGGGGGCGGATGTGAGTCGATAGAGGACATCTCTGGCTCTCATGGACATCCTAACCACTTCATTAGTGCATACATCTAGCGCGAAGCAGGTATATGTTAAATCCGAGCCTGAAAATGCATTCTTCCGGAGGTAACGTACCACGAAGACTCGTCGAAAGGTATGAATACATTGTGAACTTTAGTATGGGCTCAGGCCCAAGCGCATGCAGGGCATGATACCATCTCGGACGACAGTACTGCCCAAGACCCACATCTCAGCATGTCGGCAACGCAGTGGTGGGACGAGTTTCGAGCAGAACTCAAATGCTACCCTCGAGAACGAACGTAAACAATCCAAGCAAGAGTTACTTGCCTATAAGCAAGATAAGCACGATATGCGCTAGGAGGAAAGGAACAAAGTTGTAGAGGCGCAAATGGAGACTCTGGAGGTACGACGCCAATTATGCGAGGCTGAAGTCAGGATTCGGGAGATTTCCAAGAAGATTAATGATGTGATGGTTATATTCGAGACGTGTTAATGAGGTTCGTGCTGGAGCGCAGCAAACTCTCGGAGATGGCGTTGAGTTGGACAACTTGGAATTTATCAGCGAGCAGTCTCAGACATAAGATTTCCAGCAGCCACGGTATGGCTCGTTCTATTTTCTCTGCAGAAGCAGTGTTCAAAATGTACGAAGCGAAATCATGATGATGGAGTAGCAGTTCCAGGGTATTCCCATTGTCCAGGTTCCGGTTTGTCCTCCAGTGGTTCCCAACTAGAATGCTCAACATTTAGTATCTCCAATCTCAAAAAAAAAATAAGCTGTAACGT